GGAAATTTCCAGAATCAATCGAGTGATGATCTATGCCTATATAAGGTGTGATCTGCACTATCCATTTATGGTATATTCCCTGACTGTAATAACTTGCCCACCTATACTAAAGAGGGCTTACCCGTGCTAGTGTAACAATATGTACGATAATTTGATCGTATAAAATTATTCCTGCACAAGTTAGTAACCATGTCTAATAATAATTCCCTACCATCAGTTAAAGAAGTTAATCAATGGAGTCCGGATCAAGTTATTGCTTTTCTAAATTCTTATAATGAAGAAAAAAAGTTATTTCTCAGAAATGAAGACATTAAAAAAATTAAAGATAACTGGATTCCGGGTCCAACCTTTCTTTCTTTAACTTTAGAGACACTCACTCAAAAGGATGGATTGTTTGTATTATCATATGGACCAGCAAAGATAATCTCAGACTTAGTCAAAAAAATTACAGGTGAAGAGCAAGGTAAGTACACGACTATGTTTGAATATTCCAAACCTATACTTTTTTTTACAATAATTTCATTTCTTAACTCGAAACTTATACTTTACTTTTGCTATAGAGCAAAAGCTTCAAGGTTTGAAAGGTTTATTTTCTTGTACCTAAGCAAATGTTAAAATGGTTGACTAAGCTCTAATTTCTTAATTTTTACATACAATAGCACCAAAGGGTAAGCTCTAATTTCTTAATTTCTTTTTTTTTTCTGCTATTCTTATTTTGATGTCCCTACGATATTTCGCTATCTTAGATATCACCGTTGAAATAATAAACCAATTAATTCAAAGTCCTGATCAACTTCCTCGTAAATCTGACTTGGCAAATTTTCTTAAGGAAAAGCCCCCAGTAAAAATACCGCTTGCACCTATTCATTTTTTCCAATTCAACACCAGTCTGGGTGGGATAACTGAAGAAGAACGAAATACATATTTTATATTAAGTACAGAAGCGGATTGTACATCACTTTATTCAAGACTTTTAGGACAATTAATTTACCCTCCCTCATATGGAAACACCGAAGACTCTTATCATGATTTGTGGGATAGTATTATTAAAAATACTTTAGAGTTATTTGGAATGCATAGCGCTAGTTTGCCAACTTTGCAATTTGATCGCAATACTAACAAACGAACCTCAACAGGTAAATTAAACAGTGCGATTTATAAGTATGAATATATATTAACAAAAAAAATTCATAGGTCGCAATCGTCCAGACATGGTTGTATTAGTGAAAAACGTTTGTCCTTTTCGAGGTGAAGAAAAGGCCCGGGAAGAAGGAGGAGATCCTTCGATTGAACTAGTTGACAAAATCAAAGATTGGACTTACGGGGATGCACCATACATCCTTGCGTACTATGCTATTGGTGTTCAGATTACATTTGTCGCTTTGTACAAGCCTGAAAAGAAGAGAAAACTGAGCATTTGTTCTGAACGAATTGCAGAATTCGATTTAGGACGTTTGTCAGATAGAATTCGCATTATGAATTTCCTTCGGAATATATGTAAGTGCTTATTGTGCTTTGAATCATTATCACAGAATACTAATCTATTATATGTTTAGGTCGTATATTACCTATTATAGTGAATCTATGCCCTTCGAGGGATTCGCCGGAATTTCAAACTATTGTTCGACCAAATGGAACCATTATTGAGCTTGGGTATGCAATAAAGAAAAAATTCACAAACGAAGACCGAATTACACATTTAAAAGAAATCTATGGAATGTTAAGTGTAAGTTCGATGTTTTCAAAGCTTCAACTTAGGGTATATTCTAACCATTCATATAGGCAAATAATGTTAGATTTTCCGACAAGTTAGAACATTCGTCTACGCATTCTGTTAATTTGGCACCACGTGGAGAACAACGTGAACCAAATGATCTCAGAGAATTATTGCAAGCATTAATTTGTACACTAACTTGTTTAAAGGTAGGTTTGGTATTTTCACTATTACGTACATGTATGTATTATACTTATACATTTTTACAATATTCAAACAGGGTATGCACGAAAGTAAACCTAAGCCGATAATGCATAGAGATGTTCGATGGCCAAATATTATTCGCTACCATGACGAATATCAAAAATTTATTTTAATTGACTTTGACTATGCTAACTATTCCCCTTCCGATGAGCCTTTAGAAGAATTTTCTGAAACTGATCATGCTCCCGAAATGTTAACTAAAAAGCATGATCTTAAGGTTGATATATGGGGTGTTGGAAACTTAATTAATTCATGTAATGTCACAGGCATTCCTTCTGAACTTTTAAATTTCAGCACAAATTTGTGTAAAGGCAATCCAAATAAACGACCGACTGCTTCAGTTGCTCTCGATCAAGTAGAAGACATGTTTAGAAAGGTGATTATTTATAACAGATTAACATATGTTTTTGATCGTAATACATCTTAACAAAGTTTAACATTTCAGTGGTTTCCAAATGACGACTGGCTAGAAAGAATTGGAACTGCATAACACATTTGGACCAGCTTAAATCTATAGTAGAATTATTGACTAGTAGCGTTGAAAAAATAAAATTAGTAAATTTAATCATCTGATATTGATGTAAAATTAAGTTAGTGATTAGATAAAATAATTTGTTCCAAAATATTTATGCACAAAACTATACAAACAAAACTTTCTCATTGAATACATGTATAAATTAAGCAACTAAGATTTTAAGTTTATTGATAAGTTTATATGATAAAATATGTTATTTAAGATTAAGATCATAAAAATTTATTTCGATTTGCTCTTTCGTGAAGTATATAATGGCTTAGTAAATAATATTAACACTTTTAAACATAAAAATTTCTTAAATAATAATCCCACATACATTCATAAATAAATCATAATCATAATTAAAATATCATATTATTCGTAAATTTAATTATATCATCGATAGTCAAATCTTGTAATTTACTATCAATATCAGAAATCTGTTTAGTAAAAGGAATCAACTTACTAGTGTACATATATGCAGGATGTTTCGATTCAAGAGGTTCTGGTTTGAATCTGTCAGCATATAAGAATTGTCTCCTGATGTCATTCTTATCAGTTTTATCCATTTGGTATAGCCAATAACCGATACAATGATTAATAACAGTCGCGGTAGGTCGTTTCTTTGGATCAGCATCTGTACATTGTTCTGCTAATTCGATGTAGCAAGCTGGAGTTCCTGATGAGAATCCTGGTCTTTCTCCTTTACAAATTCTTATCGCGAGTTTAACATCAAAATCACGTCCATCAAAAGCTCTCGTTCCAGTAGTTATCTCTGTCATTATTATTCCCAACCCGTATATATCTGCTGCTTGCGTGATTCCTTGCTCTTGTAAAACTTCTGGTGCAACGTAAGGTAAGACACCTGTGATCTCCTTTCTTGATTTTACGTCAGATGTAAGCCCCAGGTCTGTGATGTAAGCACTGTGTAAATGATCTTGCAAGATGTTTCCACTATGAAAATCACTATGAATCAATTCTTGAGAATGAATCGATTCGAGATCACTGGCAATACAGTGTAACAAGTTTAATTTCTTTTTCCAATCCATCTGTGATACTTCACTGAGGTTATCACGCAACGAAAGCTTATTCGCGTATTTCATAACGATCAAGTATTCTCCATTATTCGGATCTCTTGATATCCCGTGACAATGTAAAAACGATGGATTCTCATACCCGATCTCGCAATACAATCTCAATTCTTGCAAAAACTCTTTGATATTTTCATTTGATCCGTTAATCGATTTGAGTGCAACCCATGACCAAAAGTTTCTATTTTTCTCATACCAATAAGCCTTGAATACGGTCGCGAATCCGCCTTTTCCAATCTCTTTCATGTCCTGAAACTCGTTATAAGGAATCCATGATAGTTGATATTGCTCATTATCTAATAATGTCTTTAGATCACTATGGATATCTTGTTCGTACACTGATGACTTAGATCTCTTCATACGTCTTTCCTTCTGGTACCAATGGTTGGCTCGATGAATGTCTCTTTGTACTCCGATTCCGTTTCTGTAACAATCACCAACATTGATAATTCCTTGTCCAAGACCCAGATTGGCAGATCTCATAAAGTATTCGAACGACTTTTTTTCATCTTTTCCGACTTCTCCCCGTCCTTCTAAATAATAAAGTCCAACGTTATTTGTTCCAAAAGCATTACCCATGTCTGCTGCTTTCTGGTAATATTTGAACGCTTTATGCCCGTCCTTCTTGACACCGATTCCCTTTTTATAACAAACACCAACGTGAAATGTTCCATCAGCATGACCCATGTCTGCTGCTTTCTGGTAATATTCGAATGCCTTATTATCATCCTTCGTGACACCGATTCCCTTTTGATAGCACAAACCAACGTTATTTGTTCCAAAAGCATGACCCATGTCTGCTGCTTTCTGGTAATACTCGAATGCCTTAT